CGCTGAGTGTATATCGCGGGCGGAGAGGAGTGCGATATTTGTGGCGAAAATAATTAGACGTTTCGCACATTTGTCGCTAAAATATGTGTCATTAACGCATCGATTGATTAGTCGCCAAAAGTGTCGCTGAAAATAATACCACAAATTATTCGTACATTTAATGACAAATCGTGACATCAATTAGCGAATCGATAGCTAATAGCGAGCGAACTCTCGTGTCGTCGTCCGAGGTATTCATCGCGAGATATACGGGACGCGAGGAACGGGAGGCACTGGCGGTCGTGGGGACTGGCAGCTAACACACAACCGGGCGACTCGACGGTCAGATATATGTGATTATTGATGCAAAAGAGTAGAATATCGGCAGTGAATCGTTTGGACAACTGCTATGACTCGAGGGGTTCGCTCACCGACGACATCACCAGTCAGTGCCATCACCAGCAGAGGAGGATGGCTGTGATGTCCGAGATCGAGGAACAGGAGAGGAAGATTGTCAACGAGTTCTGCCACTTCCTCGAAAAGTCCAAACAGCTATTCAATGGGCTCAGGTATGGGTTCGGCGAACCGCTCTCGACCATTCCTCCACATCTCACCACTGATTGTCTATTTTTTAGGGATTTGCCTCAATATGGTCACAAGCAATGGCAGCCCTACTTCGGCCGTACGTTCGACGTCTATACGAAACTCTGGAAGTTTCAGCAGCAGCACAGGTATGGCTAGTAATGCCCACGGGTTCGCCTACTTATCCACATATTCCAGTCGATTGTGTCTCTCTCGCGAGTGTCCGCCCACTCGCCTATTCCTCAGACAATATTCCTGTTGTGTAAGCAATTCTGTGGCGGAAATTGTTTTTGGCTTTTCGTGTGTTATTTAAGTGAATTGTTTGAGACTTTTATTCTCATAGTCTAGCGAATCGATTGCAGAATATTTTTATTGACATAATATTTTAAAAGCCATTTAATTATTATATTCTTTGAATTAAAGATTAGTTTTATTCCATATCTTTATAATAAATAAGCGTTTGATTTACGGACTATTATACGATATGTTTAGTGTGTTTTTCTCGCTAATAATATAATTCACTTTAAAACTCAATGTGTTTTTCAAACACTCCGTAAAGCGATTCACACGAATAAATTGCATTATATTTTCTCTCCACGAATTAACCGCTCGTTTAGTTTCCAGAATATAATTATTGTTTTATTTACCATAAGTTATGTTATCTATTGTTTTAGTTATGTTTAGTATTTATCGATTTTATTGACAACTTTTTTAGACACAAAGTATACACGCATTTGAACGCAACTTATTTCTAATGATTTATTGTTTTATTTACCATAAGTTATGTTATCTATTGTTTTAGTTATGTTTAGTATTTATCGATTTTATTGACAACTTTTTTAGACACAAAGTATACACGCATTTGAACGCAACTTATTTCTAATGAATATTCTTTACATCCAATGCATACCTATAGACAAGTATTAGACGCGAAGTACGGCCTCAAGAGGTGGCAAATCGGCGAAATCGCCTCAAAGATCGGACAACTATACTATCATTACTAGTCAGTAGCCATCGCTCACTAAACCCCTAACCACTCACACCTTAACCACCAATCGATTGCCTAATAACTCCTTATTCCGTGTGTGCCCACCACCACCATCACCACTAATACCTTAATCACCCATTGATTTGTTAGTGATTAATAGATAACAGACGAAGCCACAGGTTTGTCAGACGCGTGCTCACTTTGGTTAATGGACTTGCTTCGGATAAGGAAGATGAGCCGGTAGTCTCGGTCTCCAATAATGTCGTTTCGCCCCAAAGAGGAAAGGGCTGACCTCATGGTCAAGAAGTTGCGATACTTCGCCCGCTTTATAGTCGTATGCCTTTTGCTCAAGAAAATGAAATTAGTTCGCGATTTAGTGCGGGTTTGTTGCCATTTCGCTAACCATTACATGTCTTATAAATAATTACAATAGCTTTCAATCTATCATTTGATTTCATATTTTTCACTCATTTTTTATGACACAGGAGTTGGCCAAACAGATCGACGACTACACCGTCACCTATGACCCCGACGACCAGCTCGAGTGGTCGCTAGTCTTAAGTGAGATCAAGTCGTTTATAGAGGTATTGAACGCCGTTATAGTCCTCTAAATTGCCACTCAATGCTAAACTCGTATACAATTATCTCCCGGAAAGGCCGACAACATTGTGACGGTCGTAGACATGGACAACATTCCTCTAATAATATCCCATCGATTGAGTCCAATGAATACACCGCCGTTGGAGAAAGTGGTCACAAGTCATCTGACACTACAAGAGATACTGATTGTTGGCAACTGTTCCGATCAGGTCTGTGTCACCACAACCCCTTCACCAACATTTCCGATACTAATCGCTATATTATCTCTATTTCTAACCACAAACCCGTCGGCGAACCGCAGGTGAAGTTCAGTGAACTCACGTTAGATATGTTTCGTATGCTTCAGGCGCTGGAACGGGAGCCTCAGGAGGACATCGCGCAGATGTACGACATCTCGCCGGCGCCCACCGGACGCATGCCGTTCGGCACCGAGAACGGGGACCACCG